AATGTCCTAAACGATCACGTTCTTTTAATACTTGTGTACGTGTTTTTAAATCAGTTAAATTACCAAATTCTTGTTCACGTAAACGTGGATCTTCACGTTCACCTATAATTTGCCATAATGAAAATGATTTTCGTATACATAACCAAGTTTGTTTTGAACGTTTATATGGACTCATATAAACATAAATTGATTCTTCACCAATTAATGAATGTAGTTTTTTACCAGCTTCAATAGCTTGTTCACAACCTTTTTTAGTTAATTCAATATCATGATCAGCCATACGACCATATAAAGCTATTTATAACAGAAAAGAAAGAAATCAATTTAAAATATTAAAAAAAAAAAAACAAAACAAAATGAGTTTGTTTTACTCAAATCAACATTTGCTTGAGATTCACCATGTCGAACAAGAAAAATACGTGCTGGACGCTGACGACGACGAAGTGTTTTATGTCGAATATAAAGATAACTTAATAGAAAATCAAGGCCAGTATCAAAAATTCCAAAAAAATATGAACAAATCAAACTAGTACTAATTAAAAATAACCAAGTTAATGACTTATTCATTGTATTCTATAAGTGTATATGTATAATATATTGTACATAACAATGTACAACACAGAATACGTACTATTTTAATAGGAGCAAGTATGTGGGAAAGAAAGAGAAAATCGTAATATATGATTACGTTTAAATGACTAATTTTTATTATGCAGTAAATTATGAATGGTAATCAAAAAAAAACGAAAATATATGATATTGTGCATTGAATCGATCGTTATAAAAATAACCGTATTATTGTAAAAACGAAATGCCTTAAACTACATGAACTATTTCTTATTTATAAAAAAAAAAGAGTCATTGATGCGAATTATTAATATTCATTTAAAAAAAAAAGAAAAAGTTTGAGTAATTTTTTGAATAAATTTTGATAGAAACTATGTGTACTATAAATTATGAAAGTTCGATGTTGTAAACTTTAATTAATCATGAGTTATACATATTTTACTGCATGATATTGACAGAATTTTCATCAAAATGACGAGAAACTCTAAGAAAATTTTTCAAAAATGTCTGACATACATGTTTCTATACAGTTTCATTTTCTCTTTTGAACAGTGAAAACTCACAGTTCTCTATCCAGTTTTTATTACAAATTTATTCAAAAAAATATTCATATTTTTTCTTTTTGTTAAATGAGTATTAGTAGTTTTGAATGCAAATAATCGAGATAATTTTCGATTAGTCGGAATAGAAACTATTAAATTAAATATTCTAATTCGATCAAAAGAGATAATCTTTATGTTTAAAATTATATATAAAATAATGATAATCAATATATGAAACAATTTTCTATTAATAAATATAGAGGATCAGGTTCATTTTATTATAAAAAATTTAGTATGCATCATGGGTTTATTATTCTATTTGTAAACACGCCCCTATTTGTCTCTCTCTATATAATTTTGAAATGCGCACGATTAATTTTCTTTTTTGTTGGTTTGTGTAGCGTCTGGTGGTTTTTCTTTTATTTATCAAAGATTCTTATTACTTCAAACATGTTTCGATGCACAAGAATAATGGATTTTTAACTGTTATCATACTTGTACACAAATATGAAGGATAAGGTGGATGTTTGTTTTGGAAGTAACACAAGACAAGTTAGTTTAGATTTTATTTATATATATATTTTTTTTTTGGAATAAAATCATGAAGATGAATGATTTCTAAGCGATTCAAAGACAAAGATGTCTTTAGATTCTTAACGTAAATCTTATTTAAACTTTAGACATATTTTGATACATAAGAAATCAAATAATTTTTTTTTTCGAAAAAATCTCAATAAAATTGAATTATTTTATAGTATT